TGTGTGTGTGTGTGTGTGTGTGTGTGTGTGTGTGTGTGTGTGTGTGTGCCATAGTGTGCACGTAAAGGTCAGAGGACACCTTTTGGTGGAGTTGATGCTCTCCTTCCACCATGTGGGTCCTGGGGATCACACTCAGGTTATCAGGTTCAGAGGCAGGTGCCTGTGACCACCGAGCCATCTACTCAGCCCTCCACTTAAATGGCATTTAAAGCCCCACTGACCCCCCACCACCAAAAGTAGTCAATGGTACTCACAGGAAGTCAATTTGGGGACAAGAGGAAATGCGTGTCATGCTCTGGCACTTGGAAGGATGAGAAGGAAGAAAAGAAAGGAACAGAACCCTTTGAGGGACCCTCCCGTGTGCCCTGAATTGCACATTGCTTCCCTCTGTGGTTGCTGAGCACAGCTTGCTCTGCTCTCTGGTTGAGCAGGTAAATGGGTGGATGGAATGCTGGACCTGAAATCAGAGGAGCCAGCAGTGCACTGGGGAGGTATGCGCTGCTTCTCTGCGTGGACTTGGGCTGTGGAAGAACCTGACAGCCCCCTGTTGAGGATGAATCCATTTCCTCTCATTTCTTCGTTGTTGTTTTGAGGTTGCATCTACTATGCAGCCCAGCTGACTCCTGTCTCTGTGCCTCTGCCCTCCCAGCTCTGGTTTACAGGACTGGAGCTCAACACCTAATTCTTCTCCCTTTTATTCACTCTTCAAGAAATGTAAAAGATGGAATTTAGGATTGAGGTTTTTGGGAGATTTGCCTTCTACACTTGGCTTTAATTTGTTGTTGTTATTTTTCAAAACAGGGTTTCTCTGTATTAACAGTCTTGCCTGTCCTGGTATGTGCTCTGTAGCACAGGCTGGCCTCAAACTCCCAGGGATCTGCCTCTCTCTGCCTCCCAAGGGCTGGGATTAAAGCCGTGTGCCACCATGGCCAGCTGCCTATGACTTCGAAATGTTACTCCATTGAGTGTGAGACTGAACTTTCCTTCCTTGAGCCACGTGTGTAGTAGAGAGTGACAGACATCTCTGTCTTGGAGAAACTGAGGTGGTGGTAATGTTTGTTGGTTTTTGTTAGGGTCTGAGAGAAGCCTCCAAAGAACACCAACATTCACGTTTGCAATACCAAGAGTGCTTTATTGATTCCAACATTGGGCTGGCAATTGGCGACCGACCCCCAAAGAAGGTCATAAGCTCCTTTTAAGTGGAGTTAGGGGAATTTCAGAGAGGAGGGATTAATCTTGGGCTGATTGGTAGAGGAAAGATTAGTATGGGGGCTGATTGGTGGAAGGTCCTAGTGGTTAGGGACCTTCCGACGGCAGGGTAGGGAAAGCTATCTTTAGCCTGCAGAAGTCTGGGGAGTGTCTGCTGAGCTAGCAGAGGGGCTTTGGGGGTGTTTGCTGAGGGTCACCCATAAGTTGCAGTTTTTATGAGACCTGCTTGCTCAGCTCTGTCCCATTTTAGTGAAGTGAAACTAAGGTCTGGTCTCTGCCAGGACTCTGCTCTGCTGCCCCCTCCTTCCACTCTTTTCTTTCCCCCCTTGAGGTCGTCCCGAATCCTGGAGATGCTATATGGATCTGCAGGCTTGTACTGCTGTCTCACAACTGTCAGCAGGACCATAGAGATCTGTGATGATCACCAGGTCCCCTGACCAGAACCTATGGGCACAAGGGCCGGTGTCTTCTCACCGACTGCACACAGCTGAGGCCAGAGTTGTTTCCGCACCTGGGACAGAACTTGTAGGGAGGAAAGAAATCTTTGGTCATTAAATTTAGTCAGTAATTCTGCCCTAAGATTAGGCAGAAAGGGCGGTGGCTTGACATACATGACCTCAAACGGGGCCAGGCCTGCATTATAAGGAGAATTGTGAACCCTGTAGAGAGCAAAGGGGAAGAGAGACACCCGGTCATTGCCAGTATCAGGGGTTAATTTTGTTAAGGTCCGTTATCTGAGCCCAAGAGCACAGGGAGGCCACACCTCGAGATCGGGATAATTTCTTCCAGTAGCTTCTTGATCATCATGGCAGTGTCTTGTGCTTAGTTGAGAAAGTCTCAGTTCATCCTGAACAGGTATGTATAAAAACTAGCAAACACTTTTAATCATACAAGCCTGGCTTTACCTCTGTGAAGTCAGTCTCCCAGTTGGCACCAAGTTTTTCTGACTCCACTTTTTGCATTGACGAGACAGTTTGTGGGACATTGGCCTACAGCTTCCGCTGTTTTGGCCTTAAGGTCAAAGACCTTAAGATGTGCTCTTCACAAGAGGTCCTGTGGTTTTCCTTTTTCCCAAGTGAGTGCTTTGGTGTATTTATCAAACTAGTTGAGTGTTAAAGTCTTATAGGAGCATGATCTGTTTATCTGGGGTCCTGAGCCATCCTTCTTCCTTGTAAGTTTTTGTGCATGAATGGATTTTTTTTTTTTGAGTTCTTGGTCAGTGTAGGCTGGAAATTCTGACAATGTGGGTGTCACCATCTTTGGTGTGGCCAGCAGGATGGCTGCTGTCTGGAGGGCAGCCTCCTTTGCTGCCTTGTCTGTCCAACTGTTTACCCTTGAGATTGAGTCTTTTTTTTTCTGGTGCCCAGGGTAATGGATGACAGCTATCTCTTGGGGCAGCCATCTAGCCTGTAAGCCTTCAAAAATCTCCTGTTTGTTTTTAATAATCTTCTGTAGTCGACTGTCCCCTCTCCCTGTAGACGACACCATGGACATGTAGTGTGGCAAACGTATACTTGCTGTTGGTACAGACATTAAGTCCCTTCCCCTTTTCCAACTGCAGTGCCTTTCTTAGAGCTATCAGCTTGGCCCTCTGGGCTGATGTCCCAGGAGGTGGGGCCTCTATCCAGATGACTTCTTTCTCAGTTGTAACCCTGGCTGCCCTTGCAAACTGATACCGTGTTGATGAAGCTACTGCCATCTGTATACAATGCTACCTCAGCCCTTGACAAAGGGACATCCTTGAAGTCGGTCTGATCCCGTGGAGATGGCTGAGGATGTCCAGATAATCGTGGAGAGGCTAATCCAGGTCCAGGTCTGGGAGCAGGGTGGCAGGTTCGAAGGCACTGCTGTAGGTGTATTGATCCTGGGTGGGCTAAGAGCCAAGCCTGATCAGGAGTTAGCCGAGTGTTAGGAAGCCATCTCTCAAGAGGATGTCTGAGGACTCCCTCGATAGCATGGGGGTGGCCACTTTAAGAGCTTGCCCCAAAGTTAGTTTGTCTGGGTCTTTAACTAGAAAGCTGTTGCTGTGATTATGCAGAAACAAGGAGGCCAACCAGTAGCCCCTGGATCCAGCTTTTTGGACAAGAAGGCTGCTGGCCATTTTTATGGCTTGCACCAATACCCCTTTGGCCGTTCCCTTCTTTTCATCCACAAAGGCGTGGAAGGGCTTGGTGACATCTGGTAGATCTGGTAGTGGCAGAGCAGGTGTATTTGGTAGAGCTGCCTTAATTTCACTGAAGGCCTTTTCCATTTGTGGGGCCCAAACAAGGGGAGTCTTTCCCCTCCTCGTGGCCTCATATAGAGGCTGAGCTAATTCAACAAACCCAGGGATCCATCCAGAGCCTACAGAACCCAGCAGAACCCAGGAATTCCCTGACCTCTCGGTGGTTGCTGGGTCTGGAGACCCTCAGGATGGTCCCTTTAACTGGCATGGTGAGCATGTGTAGTGCTCTTCCTTTGATCAATCGCTGATACTCCAATCTGATCTAAATGGATGTAGGCCCTCATCTTAGTTAATAAGACTCTTCCAAACAGTAGGTATGGTGTTGGGAACCAGCCATGACAAAAACACCTCTCACCAGGGTAAAGGTGTGGGGATTAGAAAGATAGCAAAGACTGTGAAGAAGTGAATGAAAATAAAGCAGAGAAGCATTTAGGATAGTATCGGGAGGGAGTTCCAGTGAGTGCCGAAAATTCACCCGGGTTTCATTTCCAAGGGTGCTTAAAACACCCTTGACCCCAAAAGTTAGGAGCAAGACAAAAGACTGCATTAACATGGCACAAGGAAATGAACATACCAATTGCAAGTCTGTTACTAGCACAAAACAAGTCACCAAGTCACGCTCACGCCCTAGAGTAAAACACTTTGTAGGCAAACCACTCCCTGGGTGGAATCCCAAATTATTTTCATAAAGGGAACTGGAACTTATTTGAGTCCTTAGACTTTTGTTTGAGGTGGGAACAGATCTACTTCTCTATTCCTGGAGCACAAGGTCTGGCAATTACCACACCTGTAGACAATCACCTGCAGAGCAGAACTCTGTGAGCAACACCTAGGTGGGCCCTTTGTTTGAGGTAGAAGCACAGTAACCTGGAAGGAACTAGAGCTAAACCCCAACTCTTTGACCTTTGGTCAATGTGGAAATAGGATCATAATTTCAGGCCTCCACAGTATGGGCACTCAGGGATGTGACCATAAAAGAGTGGGTTACTCGGCCCCATTTTATGTCCACTGTCTTTGAGTTGTCCACGAGTGCTGGTTCATCTCTGGAGCCCCTTGCACCCAGGATCATTTTGGTGGCATTTTGCCTAGGGTTTGCTTTAGAATGAAGTGTTGTGTTCCTGTTTCCAGTAGACAATCTATGGGCTTCCTCTCCAACTTTAGGGTTACTCAAGACTCAGGGAGAGGCTCCCCTTTAATCTTTTTTTTTCCAATTAATGCCTTTGTTTTTGAACCCTGTCATTTAGGGCATTTATTTTTTCAGTGACCCGACTTTTTACAGCAGGCACATTGGTCTTTTTGCAGACTGGGCCTCTTGCACAGTTCCTGCTTGAGGCCTTTCTCTTTACCTAGTGAGTCTCCAAAGGCCAATGCCTGTCTTTTAACCTCTAGGCTGCCTGACGCAGCTACAAGGACTTTGGTGAGCCCCTGTATCTGTCTGTCTTCTGGGATCTCCCTATCAGTGATACCAGCTCTGCAACCACAGTGAGTTCCGCCAACCTCTTACCCTTAAAACCTTCCAGTCTCTGCATCTTACAGCGGATGTCTGGTGCTGGCTGAAAGACAGAAGTCAGGCTGGCTGTAGACCAATTCTCTGGTACTTCCGGATGCAAGGGTTTATAGGTCTCTAAGAATGCTGCTGGTGTTTCCTCAGGCCCCTGGCATACCTGACTAACTTTGGACAAATTTGAGGGCTACCTCGCAGCAGCCCAGAAAGCCCCCAAGTAGAGTCTGGTGGTAGACTTTCAGTCTCTCCCTACCTTTCTCTGTGTTGAAATCCCAACTGGGTCATGTCACAGGAAACCCAACATTTATAAGGTCTACATTAGTGGCTGGTCTTTTTTCTGGGCCTGGAACCAATTTCCAAGCCTCTGTTCTAATCCAGTCCCTCTCCTCAATAGTGAAGAAGACCTGGAGCCGTTGGAAACAATCATCCCATGTGGTCTGGTGAGTAAAAAGGACAGACTCCAACAGGTCAACTAGCCTTGCAGGCTTTTTAGAAAACTTAGGATTTTGTAATTTTTAATTATAAAGGTTGCTAATGGCAAAGGACCAATGGACTAGCTGCTGCCTGCCCTCAGCATCAGGTTGGCCTAAAGTGGAATATGGAAGGATCGTGGAGTTAGCTCCAGCTGGCAGCTCCTCCCTCTGAGAATGTGTGCATATGTGGGGGGCTCCTCCACTCCTCCCCTTCTGCCCTCCAGGGCCTCTCATCCTGGGGTGCCTGGGAGTGGGGTGGTGGCATAGAAAAGAACTCCTCCAAGTCGCCTGGAGAAGGAAAGACAGGGTACAGGGGTGCGGCAGGCAGTGGTCTATCCCCCTCTCTCCTTTAAAGAGTATGATCACATTCCCAACACAAACATTTTGTAGTGAATTAGCTTTGTTTTCTTTTTTAATGAAGAAAAGCAACTAGAATTAACATAACATGCTCAAATCTCACCCCTCCTCTGACCTTTTACAACTTACTCTATTCCTCAGTTCCTATCACTGCCACTCTGCTTCAGCCAGACATTTTTACTTTAGACAACTTTTTTTTCTCTTTTCTTTATTATTTTAGTTTACTGTCTTTTTTTTTAGACAACATGAAAACTTTTATCAAAGTCCCTTTTGTGGTTTTCTTTAGTAGTCTAGAATATTGTATGCATATAGTACTTTAAACAAGAATAGAAACATACATATACTGTAACAGAAATAATGCTACATAAAAACCTATACCAACAAGAAACATCTGAGACTAGCAGTTTTTTTCTTACCCTAACCAATGATAGTTTGTAACCAACCCCTATAATGATGGCAAATATTTATAACCCATTGGATCTGAATGAACAAAAACCACACTTTTTGTGGAAACAAAAGCATAATTTAGTTAGGCTGTGTCAGAATAGAAAAAGGCTAAGGGGTAGTAACTGGCAGCGAGGATCTTGGTCCACAGTGAAGAATGTGGCTCAGGAAGGAAGGGAGGGGGAAGTGCAGCAGCTACTCCCAGGGGCAGCGGGCAGCTTGCAGGCACAAAGTACCTGCCTGGCAGTCAGTATTCTACAAAAAAAAAAAAAAGAGGGAGGGAAAGAGGCTCAGGGTAATCTCATGATCAAATAGAGGTACCATTTCCATGCAGTGTTGGTATTGAACTTAGGGCTTCATGAGTTCCAGGCAAATATCCTAGAGCCTCACCCCAGTCCTTCACTGTGGGATTCTAGGTAGGAGCTCTACCACTGAGCCACACCCCAGCCCCTCACTGAGGGATTCTAGACAGGGACTCTATCACTGAACCACGCCCCCAGCCCCTCACTGGGGGATTCTAGGCAGGGGTTCTACCGCTGAGCCGCACCCCAGTGCCTCACTGTAGGATTCTAGGCAAGAGCTCTACCACTGAGCCACACCCCAACCCCTCACTGTGGAATTCTAGGCAGGGGCTCTACCACTGACCATGGCCTCTTCCCCTCCCTCCAAGTTCCAAAAAGCCATTCCCACCACAGGTTTCCAGTATAATTACACCAGTCACCAGTGGGAAAGAGTTCATGTGACATCTGCTCTATTTTTATTATGAAGCACTTAGTGGATTATACATAGGTCCATGTCATCCTGCCTAGTCAGTGCCCAAGACCCCAGAGGGAAGGCACTATCTCCACGGAAGGCCTGACTTACTGGGAGACATATTTGTAGGAGAAAAGCCAGCTGAGGACAGTGTCTCTCGCTCCCTTAGTTCTACCTTTCCTGGGGATTTCTTTCCAGGGCCAGAAACTGAGTAATAAGATTAGTGAGTGGGGGTGGAGTATCCAGGGGACAGAGAAGAAGAAATGTCGGTGAAAATCCCAGATGATCACAGCAGGAACACATCTAGTTGAAGTGAGGCTCAAGATGAAGCGGATGGTGGCAGATGGCTGAGCTTGGAGAAGCCGACATTGTACATGTGGGCTGAGCATCATCGGTGCGGAGAAGGCTGGCTGGGTCTGGCCAGACCCAAGGTTTTTAAATGATTGTGCGGGCCTGCACACCCATGTGTGTGCCCAGGGAGCTGCCTTGGAAGTTATGGGTGACTTAGCAGCTGAGCCGCAGCGGACAATGAAGTTATAGGTCTTCCTTGAGCTCCAGAACCTTCTACTGCAGCTACTTCCAACATCAGTGCTTGAGGGTCACATATTCTACATCTTCCTTTGCCTCAGACCGCTTCCCAGCCCCAAACTGAACCAACTCTGAGTAGTGGATGCTATCATCCTCAGGGCAGCTTGGAGTCACATTCTCATAGTCACCCTGCAAAACAGATGAAGGGAAGCCAGGACTCACGTGACCAGCCTCTGTCCATTCTCTTCCGACGACTTCTCTCATCGGTTCCCCACTGCATGGGGCCCAAATGTCCAGATGGGGTCATCTTGTCTATAATTGGCTATGCTCTGCCCCTTAGACACCTGTCTTGACTCCCAACCCAGCTCTCTGCCTGAACTGCTGTGGTCTGAATGTGTGTCCCCTGAGTTTTGTGAGTCAGAAATGCACAGATTGTGGGATCTGTAGGAGGCGATTAGATTGATGGATAAATAGATAATCAATGTAGAGATTTTCTTTTTTTTTTTTTTAGAAAGTTAATGTAAAATTTTTTTTTTTTTTTTAGAAAGTTGGGTTCTCTCCGACATATGCCCCCTGGTCATGAAAGTTTTGTGTCACCTCAGGACTCTGCCACGAACAGATCCAGCTCTTTGATGTTGGATTTCCAGAACCAACCACAAGCCAAAATAAACCTCATTCCTTTATAAACGACCAGGCGTATTCAAGTGTCGCAATGGACAATGAACTGAAGACAGCCACCCTTCCAACTTCACTGTCTGCCAAGTGTGTTCCCCGAGGGGCTCTTCATCAAGGCCCCAGGTGCCCCAGCTCTCCGTAGCTCTGCCCCCTTACCACGTGACGTTTCTGTATCACTGAGTAAGTGACTGTGTCATTGTTGTTTGGAGAAGGACCCTGTGTTGCTGAGGTCCCTGCATCACTGAAAGAGAAAGAAGAGGGCTACACGTGAGCTCTCCCTAGCCGCAGCACCCCGACTTCAACCCTTGGGGGGGGGACACCTTGTCTCTTGTGTGCACAGTACCACAGCAGCAGCTATGAAAATGCATCCTGTGAATGCATCATGCAGCCGGGCTCGGGACACCCGCTGCTGATCTAAGGAAACAGGTCCCATTGTCACGGAGCAAGAATGATGCAGTGAGTGTATGGTGGTGACTGGCATGGGCTTAGCACAAAGAGGGCAGGCGGGGAAGCAAGGTTTTCCTCCCACGCTCCCCCTGAGTCGCAGGTACCAAACTCCAGTGTCCTCCATACCCAGCTCTAGGTGTGTCAGCCTCCGGAAAGCGCAAGATGGCATAGCTAACACTGTCATCCATCATTGGGTTGTGGCAACCCTGGGACTGGGGGCCTTCTGAGAGAGGGGTCCTTCTTGCCTGGAAGACACAGGTTGCTGCTGTCACCCTCTCTCCCGTTCATTTCTTTCTCCTGGCCTTTGACCCCCAATAACGTCCTGGAGGTTTGTGGTTTGTTTGTTTCCAACAGGATCTTACGAAGTGTAACCCAAGCTGACCTCAAATTGGCCCTTCCCATGCCTTATCCTCTTGATCGCTGAGATCTCGGTTGCCCACGTATCCTCGGAGCACTCGCACCCTTTCCTCACCTCTTGTCTTCAAGGGCTACTCTGGGCTCACCTTCCTCCCGTCTTAACTTCTGCTTTTGAGACAGGGTTTCCCTGTGTAGCCCTGATGGTCCTGGAACTCGCTCTGTAGACCAGGCTGGCTTTGAACTCACAAAGATTCACCTGCCTCTGCCTCCCGAGTGCTGGGATTAAAGGTGTGCCCCACCGCCACCACCAGGCTCCATCTTCCCATCTTACCTTTTTATTCCTTACAAAAAAGCTCTGGCCACTGGAATTTTCCTGAAGCCCCTGCTGGCTCTGAGTATGTTTCCATCTAAGGATCAAGGATGTGTGAGGGTGGGTGGGGATGACCCAGCAGGCTAAGGGCTGAGGGAGGGGGAGGCGGAGGGAGGAGGGACAGCGGCAGCTCACTTTTTCTGAAGTTTCATCCCCCAGATAGCCAGGATACAGACAGCGAGGCAGAACCCTAGTCCCAAGGCAACCCGCTTGCCGATGGTCTCTGGGCTATCTGGTGAAGAAAGAGATAACAGCTCACTCTGCCTTGTAAAGATGGTGACGGACAGAGCATTCTCCCGTCTCCCTTCACAAAGCCTGCTCCTTCTTGTCTGCAGTTCTATGGTAGAGTGTTGCGGAGGAGGATCAAGATGTGGTCTCTGCCTCCTCACTCCTGATAGGAGAGAAGGGCCAATTCTTTGTCCCAGTAAGAGCTATTTTCCAGACAGGTCACAAACAAAGCCTGTGACCCTTGCCCGAGAGAAGTTTGATCAGACAGTCAGAACTTCAAGTGCACCCAAGCAGACCCAGCTCCCCAGAAGACTGTCCCACACTCCTTGCAGGCCTGTCCAGAGCAAGAGGCTCAGCAGTTCTCTACCTGAAGAGGGTGCTAGAGAGATGGGATGGGCTAAAGTCATTTAAAAGAGGCAGAGCACAAACCAGGCATGGTGACTCATCTCTGTAATCCCAACACCCAGGAGGCTGAGGCAGGGGGATTGCCTGAAGTTCAAGACCAACCTGGGGTGCATAGCAAGACCCCAATCTCAAACAAACAGAAAGAGCATGGGCAGGTTTCCTAGAGGACAGAGACTGGGTTGTTTTGTTTTTGAGGCAGTTTTCTACATAACCCAGGTTAGCCCTGTAGTTCTGGTGATAGCCCTACTTCAGTCTCTCAAGCGTCTGGGTTCAGTTTCCTCTTTGTTCTTGAAACCGTTTTTAAAAACCATGCACTTGTATTATCTTGTTTAAAACACTAAAATATCAAAAGATAAATGAGGATCTTAGTCATCAAGGGGGAGATACATATAGAGAGGGAAGAAGCAAAGGAAGGCAACAGAGAGACAAGGAGCGCCCAGAGCTTCTGAAAGGCAGGCCTCTTGAGGGAAGAAGGAAGCCAGCCCTGTGGAGCAGGACAGGGTGACCTTCCAACCAGGAGCTACTGGTTGGTCGCAGGGTGTGCCTGGGCTGAGCTGGACACAGGAGGGGTGGGGGAAGAGGGCGGTAACCTCCAGGACAGAGAAGGGAACTAAGAGAAGATGGGAACTTACAGTAGACAGTGAGGGTACTGGGCGGTGACACGTCCTTGCCCAGCCTGTTGCTCCCTTGGCAGCGGTAAGAGCCTGTGTGTTGGACCTTCAGCGGTTCCAGCCTCAGCTTCTGGCCCGAGAAGTGGAGGTCTCGGTTACTGGAATCAAACCAGACGTACTGCGAGACAGGTGGGTCAGCATCACTCTCGCAGGACAAAGTGGCCTGTTTCCCTTCCATTATGCTGTCCCCGGGGCTAATAGACACACGCAGCCTCCGAGGGGCATCTGTGAAGGGGAAACCGAGTCAGGCCAGGACTTCTGGTCACCTCATCTTCATCATGTGGTCCCCAGTTCCAGCCACTCACACAGCACGTGGAGGTACCAGGTCTGCGACGGGGTATCTCCGATGGAGTTGTTGACTAAGCAATGGTAACTTCCAGAATCCTCTGGGGAGACGGGGCTGAAGCTCAGGTCTCTCCCTTCCTGCACAAGATTCCCGTTCTTCTTCCAGAAGAAGCGAACCTCTGCCGGGTGGCTCCCGGAGAATTCACATCGGAGGAGGACGGGCTCCCCAGCACGGATCTCTGGTGACTGGGGGTTCACTTTCCGGACCCTCACATCTCTGGGGGCATCTGCAGGGCCACAGCCTCAGGTGATGTTTTGATTCCCTAATCTTCTTGATGTCTCCCCAAAATATCCTATGCCTTTGATTAGGACTTCCTATCCCGTTGTTTAGTGTTCCTGTTCCCAAGGATCAGGATTTTCTGTCCTATGAGTCCTACGTCAATCCTCTCTCCCGACCTGTAGTCCAGGTTCCCAACCCCTTACCCTTCCTTCCCCATGTCTCAGTGTGGCCACCTCCTGGTCACCCCTTGCCCTGTTACTCACAGTGGACATTCAGGCTGACGGGGGAGGCCCACGAACACCACTCGTTACAGGCAGCGCAGCTGATGGGCTCGGGGTTCCATGCAACGTTCTGAATCCTCAGCATTCCAGGTGTGATCTCATCCCCAGAACCTGGAGGCTTCCACTTATAGGAGGTGACTTTAGGATTGCTAGAGTTGTAGTGACAGGCCACGGTCACGCTGTCTCCTTCCCGAATTCGTGTAGGGTTTTGAATAACTGTGGTTACCTCCTTGGGGGCATCTAGGAGAGTGGAGAGGTGAGAAAGCATGGGCCCTGTTGTTCCCCTTTGCAGTGCTAGAGAACAAACTCGCGGCCTTGGACAAGCTAGGCAAGAGCTCTGCCACTGAACCACATTGCTCCCAGGCCAGAGAACAAACTCGTGGCCTTATGCAGGCTAAGCAAGAGCTCTGCCACTGAACCATGTTGCTCACCCTACTCTATTTTTTTTTTGAGCTGGGATCTTGTGTATTTGCACAGGCCAGTCTTGAACTGTGATCATCCCTCCTTAGCCTCCTGCATAGCTGAAATGGTTGGGCATGCGCCACCCTGAGCCATTTGCAAGGCTGGTTTTCATTAAAGCCTTCGCAAACCCCTCCTGCATCCCTCTTGCAGCTGTGAGGTACAGGGCTGGAGCCCATGCTGTTTAAAGCTGTGTGACTGTGGGCTGCGGGCCTCCATCTACCCATCTGTTGAGTGGGGCACCACCAAGCTCTTCCTAAGGAATGCCAAACCATGGCGGGATAGATCAGCACTCCCTCTGGCTCTCAAATCTTTCAGTATTTCTTCAGGGCCTCTCCTGCTGCCATTGATGCTCTGTCTCCATGTCCCTGTGAGGCCCCCAGCATTAGCCCAGGTGGGCCTCGAACTTGCTACATAGCCAAGATGACCTTGAGTTTATGATGCTCCGCCTTCATGTCTAAGCATTCCACCTACTGAGTCACACCCCCAGGCTCTCACAAGGGGATTCTAGCCAGCAGAACCACTCCACCAGCCCCTTCCTAGGGGATTCTAGGCAGGAGCTCTACCACTGAGCCATGCTCCCTGCCCCTCACTGGGGGATTCTAGGCAGGGGTTCTACCACTCATTGAGCCATGCCCCAGTCCTTACTGGGGGATTCTAGACTAGTGTTTGGTTGCTGAGCCATGCTGCCAGTCTCTTCCAAGTATGTTGTATGAAAGTATTCCGTCATTGAACTGCATCATGGGTCCTTTCTACTTTTGAGACAGTCTTGCTAAATGGCCTACGCTGACCTTGAACTCACTCTGGAGCCCAGACAGTTCTCAAGTTTGTGATTCTTCTGCCTTAGCTTCCTCAGGAGTTAGGATGACAGATTTGGGCCACCAGGCTGGTGACATTCATTCTTTCATTCAACAAACATCTACTAAGTAACTACCACAAGTCAAGGCTCTGGTCTACATATCTAGAACGCAACTGTAACCCCCAGTTCCCTGGTTTTCTGTTTGTCTTCCCTTACACCCCCACAACCCTTACACCCCCACACCTCCTGCACCCCACACCTCCTGCACCCCCATGCCGCCTACACCCCCACACGCCCTGCACCCTCATAACCTCTACACTCCCATACCTCCTGTACCCCCACACCTCCTGCACTTCACACTTCCTATACCCCACACCTCCTGCACCCCATACCTCCTGCAACCCATACCTCCTGCACCCCTACAGCCCCTA